CAAAATAACACGTTTGACCCTTAGAGCAATCTGTCGTTTTTTGTTTGCTGTGTATAATGTGAGCCAGTGTTACAGAGGTTTACATGAAAATCTGCGACTGGTCTGTGGAGTGCCGGGTTCAGCAGGGGCGGAGTGCTCTACATGCATCCAGCGATTGAATTATTCAGTCTTATGAATCATTGAGTCACGACACTCCTTTTTAGGTCCTCGCCTCTGAGCTGCAGCCTCACAGCTACCCGCTATTTGAACATCTGACAGAGGAAGAAAAACAACAGAGAACTATTCAGACATGTTCAATCTCTACGGACGGGATAGACTAGCTTTTGCGTGTGTTGCATTTACATCCATGATTCCATCATTTTTTAACAGGTTGACGAATAATTCTGTCCTGATTATTCATCTTCCCTCTTTGACTAAAGTCAAACTTAATTTGGTTCTCTAGCCTGTTGTGCAGAATCATTCTTTTCTTTTCAAAGATGTCCGTGTTGTCCGTATTTATGTATATTCTACAATGCTGTGCAATTTGTATATGCACAAAAATACATAACAGGTAAAAACATTGATTCTGTAATTCTAACACCTCCTGCTTTTCAATTGTTTTCTTCTTTTATGATTTTGCAAGAGGCTGCTAATAATAAAGAGTCTAAAAAGATGCAATTTAAAATTTGGTCATCCCTTGAGTTGAGGTGACATTTTGATGCTTGGATAATTCTGGGGTCAGTGTTCACAGAAAACAAACAACAACAACAAAAATTCCTCTAAAATGATGAGGTACAAGGATTGGACTGACAATAAGTAAAAAGCAGCCATTGTCCAAAGAAAAACTTTGATCTTAACAAAACCTGGAGAACTATTGCTGCAGACCAAGACAAATTCAAGACAGTATTAAAAAAATGAGGCATATGTTGAGACTTTTGCACAGATTTTTGACCCCAAACTGAATTTAAAAGACTGCCTAAAATTCTAAAAAAGCAGTCAGCATACTGCACTGACAATTACAAGCACTTAACAGGAAAAGTATGTGGGATAGTTGTGATATTTAACTTGATGGATTAAAAAACAATTCCCCAATGACAGATATGAACAAAGTCAGCATCTTTACCATTGCACCTTCTTATGAAATTAATTATTACTGTGAACATCATATGAACTAAAGTCTGGGTTGCCCAAAACGTCTTTCTTCCACTAAATGAGAGAGGTAAGGAAAAACGTGTGGTTTCAGTCGTAGAAGAAAAATCACAATAAAAACAGCCTGTTTATCATTTACCGCAGTCTTTTTTATAGAGACAGTTCATGTGCTCTGGTGAAGTAACAATGTTTTGTGCATGGGTGGCCTTGGTGTTGTTGCTCCGCAGTGCTTCTTATGCCGGCTGTGTGGAATAACAGGTTTGGACAGAAGGATGCTGCTCCTTAAAGCCTCTGGCACTGAACGGCAATAGATAATTTCACAGATCAACACACACAAGTGTAAATACACACATTTATGAACAAACACACACAACATGGAACAGTCTAGAGGTTTTGGAAAGACAATGTTTCAAAAACAAGATTCAAATGACAATCATTAGTAACATTATTTAAATGCTAACGCACATAACTCACAAGAAGGAAACATAACAGCCGACACAGAGTATAATTATCTTATTACGTTAATAATGAATAATGAATACATCATTGTGTTAACTAATCCCAACTCTGCATTTTGTCACAAGATATAAGGCGTAACGTCTTTGCCAAACTCACTTTCTCATGTTTATTTAGAACAATAGGTTTGTGGTTTTGAATCTTGGCCAGGGATTCATTCACTAGGGATCCCCAGGCTAGGCCCTGCATGCTACTCCAGCCTACCTTGGGCAAGGGGTACTCAAGGGTCATTGCCTGGCTTAACAGGTTCCGTGTTAGGTGTTGAGAAACTGGGAAATATTGATGAGAAGTGGGCACATATGTACAAGAACAGAGAAGATCAAATTAATGGAATGCAACTATGTGAGCTGACCCAGTGAGATCAAGGATTCAGATAGAGGAAGTTCAGCATGAAGAACTTGTGCGGGAGGATGTTAGTCAATTAAGTGAGGTGCAGAAGGGCATCATGATGGACAGGTTCAGAATGAAAAGAAAGTACAACAAGATGTTCATAGCAGAGGCTGAGGCATAGCTCTGGGCACTAGACTGAAGAGATATACCAGACAAGCAGAGGCCAAGAGAATAAACGCTCTTCAAAAATCCATTGAGGGTGTGCTCTCAGGTAAAAGGGTAGAATAGCACCAAGGCAGACCCAACAAGAGCTAAAAATGACAAATACTGAAAAAACATCTGTGAGAAGGAGGTGTCACACAACAAGTGGTTGGCGCCCCTAAGAGCAGACCACAGCAACCTCCAACAACAAGTCTCCAGAATAAAGAAAGGACCTGACATGATCCGTACCTACTGGCTGAAGAAGCTAACAGATCTCCATGATCACTGAGCACAAATATATGGTCTACTAACAGCAGGTTCTCATCCACACAGAGCAGAACAGTTCTGATCATGAAGGATCCCAACAACTAATTGGCCATTACCAACCTCTCCACTACATTGAAGCTCTTCTCAGGCATCGTAGCAACCAAGCTGAGTAGGCACATGAGTAATACATGAGCACAGCTCAGAAGGGCATTGCAAGTAACACCAAAAGGCCAAAGCACCAGCTCCTGGCTGACAGACCAGTACACAAGACTCTAAGGCAGTATCCAGGCAGACCAACTTGGGCACTGCCCAGAGTGACTACAAGAAAGCCCACAACTCAGTGCCCCTGCACATGGATACTGGAGTGCTTGGCGTTAAAAAAAAAAGAAAAACTTTGCTGTATTATTTTATCTGGTTTCTTTTAAAATAATCCAAAGATGATTTGTTTGTCTTTTCTTTTAAAATACACTAGATCTAATCATTAATAAAAAAAATATGCAAAATAGAGAATTACAACATATTTTTTTCCTTTGAAACTGTCACTCTCCTGTACTACTTACATATATTTTAAGTAAAAATATGAACCTGTGTATATTTGAGGTCGGACTCAAATACACACAAATGGCCTAATTCTAGAAAAATGAAATGGTAAAATTTGAGAAATTATAAATTTGGAGATACTACAATTAACTTTTCTTCTTCTGCTATGATAATGTTTCAGGACTTCCTTCATGATACAACAAAGGTCCCGAAAAGCTGTTTCACATAGATCTTTATCTTTGTGTATTTGTGAAAATCACTTTACTCCCAATCGCCTAAATCATAACTATCATGAATAACCTCATAAAGTAAAGTAAATACCTCCCCCCACAAAAGGATACTGCAACAGACAGAAAGAAAATTGTAGAAACAAGCACACAAAGCAACAAAAAAAACAAGAAGTTAATTGAAGAATTACGCTGAACTGCAGTTAGCTGAGTATAATCACTAAGACTAAGGTGGTAGTAGAAAAATAGCCCGAAACAGCTTCAATTGCTAGAAAAGGGGTATGTAATGGATTGTGGCTAAATAAATGAAGGTAATAGATTGCAATTTGTATATACGCACACAAACATGAACCATGTTGTCTGAAGTGACATCTCCCTGTGAGTCAGACTTACAATGAACTAGCGCAATCGTGCAGGTTTGTAACACTGGGGCTTTGTTTCTGATTTCACGTTGTTCTCCACGGTGCTGAATTGTGGTGCTGTCCATTGTCCTGAAGTGATGCCAAGGATAGCAGTCATCAGGTTTTTCTTAGTCGAATTGAAATTGTATTGAAAACAATATTGCCAAAGTTGTATCAAAGTAAAATACCAACAAAACAAAAGAACAGTAAAAAAATGTATCTACCAGTATATCGATGCTTCTGATCAGCATTTAAATTTTGTATTCCTGCATGCCCTTAAGGACTGGTCAGTATCTCTAATGGCCGATTTCTTTGCTTAAGTGCACACAGAGCAAAACGATCCCCTTCTGACATATTCGATAGGCGTTTAAGGTGGCAAAGTATCGACTGGCTTTCACACGTGCCGCACGCCTCTGCTGATTCGGTTTGTTAGATTTGCCAGGCACCCTTAAATCTCTATATGCTAGATCATTTCCCATTCACTGACACGGCTGTGTGTGGAGTCAATCAATTAGCTCACATACAAGGGGATGTTGTCCTGGACCAGGCTTTGGGCTTCCTCTCTTCTTCTCAGGGGCTTAATATAATGTGGCACCAGCACTTTGCTGAAGGTGTATATTGGGTGATTACATATGACAACAGCTCTTTGCCACCGTTCTCCCGTGTCCACTTGGAGGTTTGCTTTCAAAACGATGTGTTTTAGGTAAAAGAAAAAGAAAGAAAGAAAAAAGAAAGAAAATAAGAAAGAAATGCTTTAAGGTGGAATGGTGGTGTGTGCAGAAATGTTGTCACTGTGAAATAAATCACATCATCTCTCGGCGCCGTCCATCCACCTCCCCTGTCTCCCCTCTGTGTTGTCACTGAAAATATTTGCTGTTTTGCTTGGGCTTTAGCGCAGACCATATGGTCACACCTTCAGCAGGCACCAGTGTTTTCGGTGGAGCGATGATGAAAGCCTCGAGGAGAGGAGAGTGAGGGAGCGATGAAGGCAGGAAAGAAGATCCTAGACTCAGTTTCAGGGAGGAAGGGAGGGAGTGAGGAGTGCTCTCTTCGTCCATTAATTTCCAAATGTCTGTTGCTAAGAATAGCCTG